TGAAGAAAATTAAAATTTCTCACCTTAAAAACTTGACCCCAATATAATATGTATATTTATGTGAGTCATGTTTATTTTTATATTTATGTTGTTGTTATTAGCTTTTTGTCGATATTATTACATACAGTCAAGCTCTAATTACATTCACTTTTTTATGTTACTTTTTAATGTAAAGTTTACGTTTATTCTTAAATGATATATATTACCTTTCTTATTATCCAACTAGAGCTATAAAAAAAAAAAAAAAAAAAAACATACATATAAAGGAAATTTCTACTTCGCACATTTTTATGATATAGTGGAATATTATCTGAAAATATATATAAATAATGATAACTAAGAGAGAGAGAGAGAGAGAGAGAGAGAGAGAGAGAGAGAAATGGAAAGCTTCATATAAATTTATTAGTAATACAAGGATAATTCTCTATCACGCATTTAAATGTCATTGCTATTAACAGATAAATCATCGAACATGAAAAAAGCTACTTTTAACTGATTATCAATTCTACATTAAAGCACAGGTTGTAAAAACAGTTGAAAAATAGTTTTAATAGGTCAACTGAAAATGATACGCAACAATAATAAAACGATAATCTAATATACTTAAAATTGTTTTCTTAGTTATAGATTGATAAATCACATTGATAAAGATTGTTTCGACCACTTTTATAGGGACCACTAAAAATCAATGATATAAAGTACAATTCTATAATATCGGATATGTTTAAATCGGAAGTCGATTTTTAAAATTTAAACGGATAAGTGAGAGTGGAATCAGTTAAGGGGTGAATTGACATTAATCAACTAAGAAAGCTTGTCATTAGAAAACCGATATTATGTCCAATATTTCTGTCGTGATACCTTGAACGTCAAACTATCGGGATGTCATTTACAGATATTATGACTAAAGCACTAAGATGGAACAATTTTAAACATGATAAAATTATTTATACATTCGGATATTTTAAATTCACTTATTAAATAACTTTATTCCTTTCTCAATTAAAGGATCAAATAATTTATGAGCGTTCGTTTGTTGTAACTGCAACTAAAAGTATAATTTTACGGCAAAACTATATTTATATTGAAAGTGCTTTGCTTAATATCTGTGCACATAATTAATTATTCGCGAATTAATTTACAAACTATTGCAATCTATATAATTGCTTAAAATATATTTTAATTTTATAAATAAAATATATATGATATTATATAAAATAGAATAGCCTATAGAATCATGTAATCTTACATGAAAAAGAAACTATAGAGGGAAGATGTATTTACTTAGAAATAAATTGTACGTGCGTAATTCGTTTCCGACATTCTCTTCGAAGCTCTGAATTCCTTTACCTCGGAATTATATATTATTTTTATTAAAGTACATTATATGCGTTTTGTTATACTTATAATAGAAGCAATTTCATTTTTAATTCAACAATATTTTTAGCGCACGACTTAATATTACTTACAACTTTTTTTTCTCTTATTATTTATTACATTTTATCTATATTCTATTTTACTGTATATAATATTTTATTAAACTTTTATTTCATTACATTTTATTATTATTACATATCATTAATAATATTATTTATATCTCAAGGTTTTATTGAGCGGGTAAATTAAGAAACACTTTTAAAAAAGTATTATTATACGATGAACAAAAGGGTGAAAATTGATAATTTAACGTAAAAATAAAACTTTTATATATCTATAATTCGCAGGACTTATAATTGTTATTGTTAACTTTGAAATTTAATCACCATAAAGAACAGTTATTCTTCAAACGAAGAAATTCAATTTAACAATAACCACTTTATTTATTTTTTTTTTTTTACATTTTATTGTTCTATCAATTTTTACATAACGCGCGCGGGGGGGGGGATAAGAGATTGCAAATAACCTCGAACTTATAGCATTTCATTATATAAAGAAAACTCATAAATATATTTCGATTTAAAGCCAATAATGAAAGAAGCCTATAAGTTAATACACAATCAAAGCATACATTGTTAAGGCTTATTAATTCAAAATCCAGGAATGAATAAAGAAACAAATGGTTATTTCAGCCACAAAAATATAATTACTTTTTGCATTTTATCTTGATTTGCGTTATTGTCATTAGACAATTATTAGTGAGTAAGCTCTCGGTAGATAGTGTAAAATACTTAAAAGAATTTTGAGTTCTAATGTAATATTGCAATAGTAATGTTGTTCATGAACGACAAATTTATGCGAATAAAAATCATCACCGTTACACAACCAATCTGACCTCATTTTCGTTTCACTCTCTTCTTCTTTGTTCCGTTTTTCTTTTCGTATTTCATCGTTTCATACAGTACCGTGATTTTTCACATCGACTATAAGTTAAGTAGGGATGGCGTTACTGAACATCTTTTCGCCTTTGTAAAAAAAGCCGCATTACTATCTCCCTCTTTTTTCATTCTGCTGACTTCTCTCTTTCACTGCTTTAACCAAATACGAATACTTTATTCCCCTTGTATTTTACGCTCTCTTATCGTGCAGAAGTTCAGTTGACCTCGTACCTCGGTTTCCAATTCTTTTTCTCAAGTGTCGGCTCTCTCTCTCTCTCTCTCTCTCTCTCTCTCTCTCTATCAGCCCTTCCTTCTTTGCTATTTTTTTCGTTTCATCTTGTCAGACCCGTTCGCGATTTCAAAGTGTCTCAAAGCCAATACGTATTCATCTTTGTTCCAATAATTCTGTCTTCTCCTAATTCTTTTGTCTTTATTTTCTTCCACAATTCTTAAATTTTTTCCTCACTTTCTCCATTCTCTTCAGCTTTCGCTTTATTCAATCTCAGGCGCAATTGTTTATGCCGAGCGAGTATTCCTCGGTAGCTCATTTGGTGTACGAACTAAAAAGATGTATAAATAAAACTTTACACTTCTTGTGAATCCTTGTTAACTTAAACGGTTCGCTTCTCCATAATTCTACATACTTCAATTTAAATAAAATCACCCCCTTCAAGAGAATCATATCTATATTCTTTCATTGCGGCCATAAGCGCTTTAATATCTATATTACATAATCATTATTCGAAACATTTGAAAATTAATTTGTATTTTTCTGCTTCATTAGATATGGAAACCCATAGTGTTTTGTAGCTGATAAACAGAATTAAAAAAATTAATCTTACAATTATTTAAAGCAATTTTCTTATAAAAGCAAAATTGCATATTCATAAGGATCGATAATTACAAATCTCATATATTTGAACAAAGAGAATTTGTTAGCGTATATATTGTAACAGTATACGTTTTAATAATTGGCAAAACAAAAAATATTGTTGGTTTATTTTTCGAAGCGATGTTATATTATCGATAGAAAGTAATTCACGGAGAGTGAGAACGAAAAACAGTGGATCGTTTGGCAAAAAGATAAGCAACGAAGACCTTATGCTGGGCAACGATGACGGCAATAATTGATTCAATACTTAATGAAATCGACTATTCCTCAATCGTCTAGAAATTAGAACTCTAACTCACATTATTTCTCCATTTTCTCATAGCTTCAACCCTTCATTTTTATTCTCTCTCGATGCCTCTCCCTCGCTTAATCTATCTCTCAATCTACCTATCGATCCACCTATCCAGCAATTTACCTATCTATCTATCTAAGTCTTTTTCTCTCTAGTTTATTGAACGTTTTCATTATAACGTTTATTTCATTTCAATTTATAGAAGAATCCGTAAAAACTACAGAATTTACGAATTCAGTTAGAGGAAAATCAATTATTTTTTTATTTTTTTTTTATAAAATTGCACACGCAACTGCACTAATGTATTTATTGTACATACAGACACGTCCACGGTATGATACAAATACCTACGCTTTATTGTTGTCTATGGTTTATTGATAAAATAAACAATCTTTTTGGAAATCGTTGATTTGATAAATTAAATTAAAAGCTAAAATTGAAAAACTTTACAGATTTTTATCAATATTATATTTAAATAAGTACACTGATTTAAAACAAAACACAAAGAAAGTATTTTTCTAATAATACTCTATTAGCCTGAATTCTTTGACATTATTGAATTATGTATAACGAATAATTGTATTTCACTCATTCTTCATATAATTATTAAAATAAAAGACATATTTTAACTGCACATTTAAAAGTACATCAAGAAAATAGAAATATTTTGCCCTTTAAAAGCGTGTATTTATTATTAAATATAACATTATTACATCGAATTTATTCATTTACAATATAACAACATACACTCGATTCTCAAGAAATTTAATTGCATAATAAATATTATATTTTTTATTTATATTCTTGGAAAATATTTGCCAATTACATGTAAAAAATATTAGACAGTTTCAATCTATCATATAAAATTTTCTTAATTTCATGATTAAACATTGACGTTATATACAACTTGCTTAATATTTATGAGTGTATGAGTGTTCCTTTGCACAGAGTAGGTTTGTTATATTTTAACATTTGTCCCAACTTTCATTATCTTTTTTCGTAGAAAAGCAGACTGATCGCCGATCTTTATCTAGTAATATTGAATGAAGTAATAAATTTTATCAATACTTTGAAATATTCATTAAGCAAAGTTAAACTATCACCAGTATCAAATATATTTAAGGCAGCAGTTGCTTATTTATTATTAAATAAATACAAATATTTAATTAAAATTGTTCTCTAACGGAATTTTTAAATTGAATTTTACACAATAATAAAAGTATTTCGATGTATATTTAACTTTCAAATAAAGCAAATCCATTAAATAAATCATACAAACACATTAGCAAAATTTTAATTTTACATTAAATGAGCTCAATATATTGTAGAAATATATTTTTCATTATGTGTACACGAATTTTTCAAGTATTATGACGAATATTTTAATTAAACATTTGCGAAATGTAAAATTTATGTACTAAAAATATAGAGAAAATGGAATTTCTTTCAAATAATAATTAAAAATTATACAGTACTGGCTGATAATTGATATTCACCTTTTAAACTTAAATTCTTATTAAATCTGCATTTAGAGTTGGCTTGTACTTGAATAGTTTAGAATATTGTTTAAGAAGTCTTTTCCAGTAACAGATTACATCAGACAATTTAAGTCGTTCCCATATGAAATTCCTTCCTCTATCAGCAATCTTTTTAACGATGGTGTCATGATCCTTTGCAAATCGAATAAGTTCTCTGAAATTTTTCAATAATTTCATAAGTAATAATTTGATTGTTTTTATTCTTTTGCTTTTTTTTTTCTTTCTTTTTTTTCTTTTTTTTTTATATTTTATTTTTTATTTTTTATTTTTATTGCCTGTTTACGTACGTACAAATAGCAGAAAATAATGATTAACCACTAGCGGCAAATGGGAAACGGATGAGATATTTCAAACCAACTTACAATCAAGTTCATCGATTATCTTCATTATTAACATAATGCAAAATTTAAGATACACCTGACTTTAATAATAAATAATGAAATAGAAAAACCCACTCTAATTGTTTTTGCGTAGCATTCTTGGGCACGGGAATGTAATGAATCCATGGCTTCATCGCGTGGTAATAAAATTCTGTCCACTCATTGCCAACATGAAAGACGAGAGAACCGCAGAGAAATAAGTGCTTATGCCTGAATGAGGCCGCGACGCCTCGATAATTGAAGAGATACTTGTACGAGCAGTGAGATTCCAATGAAGCTTCTGTCGCAGGTAGTGAATTTAGCGTATCCTACAATTTTTGTAAAAAAATTAAAATTTAAAATACTGCACAACGTTATTTACAATGACGTATATGTATATGTAGCTTAGATATTGAATTTATGAGAGAATAGAAAGGGAAAAGTATTTAGTCATACGTGAACAAGGCATAATGATAAATAGTGATTTTTATTCCCATTAAGCTTGAAAATTACTAAATCGATAAAAGAAAGCATGAATTTCATTGGTCGTTAATTCGAATGATTAAAGCCTTGCTTGCTTACCTTTTCTGATTTCCAAGCTTGATTCTTTGTATATTGCGCGTCAGCAAGCTCTGGCTTTGCACGGCTTAATAAAATTAAATTATCTCTTTCGGAGCTGGTTCTCGAACCCCTAAAGAAAGCTTTCTCCTCCTTTTCATCCCAGGGATTCTCTCGACTCGCTTTGTTCAGCGATTTACGATGCAAGTCCCATCTGCCGAGACCTCGAGGATATAAGGAAATTGCTGGCCCACCTTCCCAAAACGTCCATGCTGGATATGTAATATCGTCATACTCAGCAGTCTGTGGAATAAAATTTATTTCCTACTTTTTTCTTTTGACATTTTAAATATAAAAGAGTGCGCCAAAATACAGGCAGTCGAACCCAAAAGACCATTCAGAATGTGAAAATCAACCAATTTCAATTATTATATATTATTCTATTGTATACATATTCAACTTTCATATTATTATGATTTTTTTTCTTACTTTTATTTATTTATTTCTTTTTTTATCTATTTATTTTTTTTTTTTTTCTTTAATAAAAAAACACGGATAATACTTTGATAATTAATGAAATTTTATGCACGAGATTAATAAACGAAGCTGTAAAATGTTGGATTTACAATAAAATGATTCCGTACCTTACTGAAAGAAAAAATTGGCAATGGTTCACCAAAATATTTACTTGATTGTGGATAATCTCGAGTATTAATGATAAAACTAATATTCGGTAGATTATCTACCAATTTCGAAATGAAATATTGAATGCCATTACATCGTGACGGAAACATACAATTTTTCTCTCTGTATAAATTACCATTAATTATCTGGTAAAATGTTCCCCTGTAGAAAAATATTGAATTTATGTTTGTTCCTGTATATTATAATTGTATTAAAAAAAAAGAAAAAAAAAAGAAAAAATTTCTAAAAGAAATCAAGAATATTTTATATATTTACATGTATGCAGACAGTAGTAGTGATTTAAGTAATTACCTGGATTTTGCAGTATTTATTAATTCTTCATCGATACCATGTTCCGCAAAAATCTTTAAATCTTTATCTATAATATCACCAAAACATTTACATTTTTTCGACTTACATTCCGTGTACTCAGCTTCCGATTTCTCAATTGCTCTCAAATATTTTTCATATATCGCATTCGTAACTAGTAAAATAATGCAGATTAATTGAAAAATCTCTCGATCAAAAATACAATCTTTCATACATTCAATGTGATTAGATTGAATTAAATGAAAATCAATTGTATTTTATAAACTATGTACTATTTAAGTTCTTAAGGATAAAATTATTTTAAAAAATTTACAAGATTAAATGAAAGAAGACAAAAACCTTCAGAATATTTGTTGCTTTCTAGGTGGTCAATGCAGGTATCTTCCTTATTCGATGAACAACTTTCAATTTTAGATTCAACATTATGGATGAAAATTGATATAATTAAATGAAGTAATAAGATCATAATATGTATATATATATATATATATATATATATATATATATGAGAACAAAATGGCTCTTTATATCCCTTTAAAATTATTAGGCATCGAATTGCTTTTTTTTCATATTATATCCTAAAAATTAAAACTGCTTATTAGTCTAAATATTAATTTTTAATAATTTTATTATTACTACAGAATAAATTTTTTAATTCATATGATTTATTTTATTTGTGAAAAGTTAAAAAAGAAAAATTTGTTTAATTCTAATATTTGAATAAAACAAAAGTAAAACAGATTTATTGTAAAAGTAATTTGCTTAATATTCAAGATTTTGTTTAGTTTCATTAATTTATGTCTAAACTAGAATTTAAAATATCCGACTATTAATGCTAAATATATATTTAGAATAAACAAATTATTTTCTAAAAGACGCGAGAAATTACAGTATGAAATAGTGGATACTGTCATTGTTTAAAAATAATTTATAAATATTTCACGTACACAAATATCAAAATAAAAAAATAATTATATAATTTCCGGTTACCTGTTAAAAATTATGATCATTAATTTTATATATGTAATTATGTTATTTAGATTATTTACATTCATTAACATTATCAAATAGTTTCAAATATATACTCTATAATGTTGTTATAAAAAATTATAATTATATATATATATATATATATATATATATCTAATACTGCCATCTTCTTAGTCAAATGATGTTGCCGCAAAAATCTTACTAATACATTGTTTGAGAACGTTGCTAAAAATTTAAAGGACAATTATTATTCCATCATCATTGCAAGATATTTTTCATATTGACATACTATTATCGTTTAGTTTCGATCTATCTCTGTAAATAAATAATAAATTTAAGATAGTGAACCATTTAGAGACTTTTGTGTAGGAACAATCATGAGTATAGGAAATATTAAATATTTCCATGAATTATTTTATCAGCTTTGAAACACATTAAAATACATTATTTGTATGTACAAACAATGTATTCAATTTACGTACATAAATCGAGTTAGATGATAAAAAATAATTAATTTTATTATTAATGAATATTATCCATAAAATTGATATTATTTGTTATATAGTTTATTAATTAATATCAACTATTTTCGGCTTTAATAAACGATGTTAATTTCATTGACAATGCTTTTGGCAAGAAAATATAGAATAGACAATATTGAATTCTCGTTGGTTTTTTAATAATAGTACAAATAAAAAAAATCTCATATTTCATAGCTTTCAGTCATATATATTTTATATCTTTATTTAAGCTAATTTCATAGATAATTGAATATTACGCAATGCGTGAAGCAAATAAGTTATTTAAAAATCTTGTTCTGTATTATCTCGATTACTGCTAATTTTCTTTGGAAGCTTTCTTCTTAACAAAATAATTACGTTGAATTGCCTTTAACCGGACTGTCAACAACACATGCAAATATTTATATGGACATGGAAAATTGCACAAGACCACGATCTTGCTTTCACGGAATTTCAATATAGTCTTTCGTTGAAATCGGCTCTTTTGTCAATATATAATGCAGACACATAGAAACACATTATTAATTATAAATCCATATCCGTTTGAATGCATTCTATCATTTTCGATTATTGTATTATGTAATCTTCGTATTACTTGTACAGCCAGATTTACCTTCAATTAGAAAACGGCGTTATGTAATTTATTACATTAATTAATTTATATAAACAAATAAATAAATGTATATATATATATATATATATATATATATATATATATAGTGTTTCTACCTTAAGTTATATATTCATCTTTACAATATTATCAATTAAAACATCGATCATTCTATACATATTTTTAATTATTCTACTAGTAAAATTTGTTTATAATTTCCAATACTTAAAGTACCATTAAGCTATTAAAACTAATTATTTATTTTACTTAATCAGAAAAGAAACAATTTATATTAAATTATTCAAAATTTATTTGACGCTTGATCGAATGACTTTATTGAACAGTAAAAATAAAATTATACATTTGAAATTTTTACAATTTTATAAAGATATTTTTAATATTAACCACAAATTTTTTATCGTTTGCTATAGAAGCGTACAAAAGTAATAGATATTCAAAGGTCAATATTAATCTTTTATAGCCTAATGTGCTTGTACCTGCATATAACCTTATATTAATTAGATTTAAAAATTAATTATAAATTAACTATAATGCCAGTGTTTGAGAAACATTTACAAAATATAATTAGAAATGGAAATGTAATTGGATGTTGTATAAGAAAACTTTATTACATTAAGCATGCAAATGAGATTTATCTTTTCTTGACGAAATTTTGTAAGAGTGTAGTGTAACGATAATATTGCAATTATTTAATTTCATAATCTTATCGACAATATAAATATATATATATTCTCGTGTATACCCTCAAGACTTTTCATTCGAGAAAAATAATATAATCGTAAGTTCTGATTTCGAAGAATTAAATTTATCTTCAAATTTCGATTCAGTAGGATTACGTATATTCATAAACCATCCCCTCATCCTCTCGCAGTCCGCACAACAAAAATAATAGTCAAAAATTTGTAATTGATGCATTTAAAAAACGACATGATTTGACGACGAGAGACCCGTCATACATAGGGGATATTAAACTTCCAAGCCCATCGATTTTTTCCTTTATCTTAAGAAATGCGACATCTCCTTGAGCCCTGGAGCGAAAGCATCATTATCGCGATCATCGTTCTCGAAATATAAAAGGATGCATTCCCATTTTAAGACTACGAGCATGAAGATTATATCAGCAAAAGCTTGGTAATTGCCACGAAGGCATCACGATATTACAAAGCTCTCTTATGTCAGATCAAAATGGCTAATGAGCATTGAGGCAATTTTTAAAGCAATTCCCCGTTTCTCAATTTGCCATCATCAGCAAATGACAGAAGGATCGGCAATGAAGATGAGCGAGAACGCCGTCGTCTCTCGGTATTGCCAATTCCAGAGCGGAAAAGCAACTTTACGCTTGTTTAATCCAAATATCTCCTGCCCAATCTTCCCTATTTTCTCTTCATTTATTTATTCGCTTCTTATTCGCAAAATATACAAGTTGAAAGCACGTTATGTAAAAGTAGCGACAGGAGCGCCAGTAGCTTTGATCACTACGCGAGAAAGGAGAAATGTGGGGGAGGAGAATCGGCTAATATGAAAGGACACGCGACAGCTTGAATGCCACGTGAGCTTCAGTACACGTGTAACGACGATGGAGCTAAAAATTCAAGAAATATTTGCGCAATTCTTTCATAGTTTTTTCTTTTTTTTTTCTTTTTTTTTTCTCACTATCCACGAGCTACGCGAAACTCAAATTAACGAAAGTTTCACAAACTATAACAAAAAATGAAATTGTCAAGGTCAACCTATTGTAAGCATTGGCTTTATATTATTAATTATAGTTTTCACGAAATTCGGCATTTATTACTGTTTATACTATTCTTACATTCTTATAAATAACAAGAGATGAAATTAAATTCAAAAGACAATTAATTCTAATAAATGCTACAGTCACATTTTATTCATCGATTTCATACATTAATTGAAATAAAAATACCAATTAATTCATCAGTTAATATTTAAAAATTAATCTAACAATGCATAACGCGCTATCAGATTATGGTTAAATATGATTAAATTGTCTTTCAAAAAGAACTTTCTTATGTAATAATTTCTAAAAATACTTCTATAAATTTTAATTAATTCTACAAATTTAACTTGACCTTCAAATTCGCCAATTTATCGATAGTGGAATTATAGATTCAAGTCGCAAGTTGGAATACATTAATATAATTAATTCGAATTAATAAATGATATAATGCTTGTTGTTAATTTATAAAAGATTTTCTCAAAACATTTTATTAAATTATATTCCGAAGGATGTTTTAATATTAAATAAGAATAAAATAGTAATTTTATCTTTTGAATTCGCGTATTAACAAAAGTTTAATAATATTTTTAGTGCTTATAAAAATTTCTTGTTTTTAATTTATTTAATTGATTTGATATTTTTATGTATTTAATTTTTCTTATTTCTATATATAATTAATTTTTCATTTTCTTATATAATTCTCGGATATTGAAAGCCCTTCAAATAACCCATAAATAATAGTTTATGAAACATCGATGATTGATTAAAATTTTATTTATAGGACTTTTATTAACATTTCGGTAAAATAAATATTTATATATATTTACTTTTAAAGAATTCTTCGTTTCTCATCATAAAATTGTAAGCTCTTTTAAAAAAAGTATTTTAAAGAGTGTTTTTAAAATTTCCGATGGTTATCTAACATATTAAATCGTATTTTATCCATTTATTCATATTACCAGCTTTGTCATTAAAATTTCTTCCATCACTTACTCTCCCTCTGCCCTTATATATATATATTGTATTTTTTTTTTTCAAAAAATATAAAACAGCTATAATTAAAAAAATTGATTTATTAAGACATGCAGAAATTATACATTTTATTATAAATATTTATTATTCGGTTATTATATTTCGATACATATTTTTTTCTTATTCATTTAATTATTTACATAATAATAAGCAAAACGTCTTATTCCTTTTAAGATCATTTTTTTCATTGCTTCATTAATTCATATCGACATTTACTTTTATAGAAAAATGTATTATATTGAAATATTTATTATTTCTCTGTAATTGATAAAATCATATTGTAAATATTATGTAATTTTTAAATAATAATAAAGTAATACAATAATTTCTTATTGTTATTAAATTTATACTTTACATTTATTATAACTAAATCTAATAATCTAATTCAATTCATGTTATATATACGTACATATAAATATATATGCATGTAAATATATAATTTCATATATATTTAGTTTATAGATGGAAAATTATTTTAGAATGTAATTTATTCTGTAACTTTGTTATTGTATTATAATATCGTTGTATAATAAAGTCATTCAGTCTTGGATGATTGG